CAGAATAAATGTTTTACTAAATGCAATGAGTAGTTTAGGAGAACTGTTGTTTTCATTTCAGGCATGAGTAGTTTTCTGTTTGTGGCTACTGTCTCCCTATTATGTTAAGAGGATAAGCAAGAATAGAACTTGGTACCTTTTTAGAAATTGTACTCATTCATTTTTTCCTCAAAAAGAGGTAATTTTAAATTCTTATCTTTACAGACTCTCGAAGAAGCAGAGGAAGAAACAGAAAACAAGGATGATGGCATGTAGTCATACCATGGTATTCTGGGAACTTTACAGTCCAGTTTTGTTATCTCCTAACTTAACTTTTTTTTTGTCCTGAAAAATAAGAGAGACTGAAATTCTACAGAACTTGAAGACTGTTTTCAGATAGTTTTAGTTCTTCTTTGACTGCAAAATAATTTTTATTACACTTTGATCATATTTTATGATAACAATCTCATAGACCTCACTTTGTTCTGTTTGTGCAGATCCTAATAAATGTGGTGCTGGTTCTAAAGAGGCTACAGTCTGAAGTGTAAGGAAGACAGATGGAAACAGGCAGATAGGCAAAGTGCAAGGAATTGATCAGAAGGACCACCAATAGCGTTAACATTAGCAGCTCAATTGTTTGGTCGTTTTCTGCTTTGGTTGCTAGAGTTGGTACAACGTATTGTTTGTTAATCTCTAATTTAGGGAAAAAAAAACCCCTAACACATTATTGGCATCCTAATGACACTGTAGTTGTTGGAAACACATCCATTCCACCTTTCACTTGAATTGTAAACATGAGTAACACCAACCTGTTGTACTCTAGGATCTGAGTCTGTGCATGATATGACAGATCTGTGCTTACAGCAGCAGGTGAAATTCAAGAACTGCAAGCTGTTTCAGGCTTGAGTGGCAGCAGTGCCACAGTGAGCAAACTTTTCTGCCTGCCTTCCTCAGCCTTGATCCTTTTCAAGTCTTACTTCTTCTCTACTTACTACCTCAATCCTAGCCTTCTCCCAGTGAGCTTTCAGTACCAGGCCCTGCCTCTTCCACCCTTTCCCAAGATGGTCTTCTGTCTTCTCCCAACCTAACCCCTCTAGTCTCCTATCGTATGTTCACCTTGTCTGCCCTCTCCCACACCATCATTATCTCTCATCCTCAAGAAACTTCCCTGAGACTTGCAAGCAACTGAATTTTTCTTGCTTCACTTTGGCTGGTATTCCACAGTCCAAGTCAGTATTCTTGTTTCCATGCAGGCCATCAGGCTCCTGTTCAACTCTTGCCTTCTCAGTTTGAAATCAGAAGGTCTTGTTTTCACTGTACAGATTGCATATAGGCACTGCGTCTCTCTTCCATCAGCTTGTTCACAAGGTCTCCTGCAGCCCAGACAGTAGGTGCCACTCTTGCGTAGCATGAGCTGGAATCTTCCACAGACAGATTTTTCTGGGAACATAACCTCCATCCTCTACCAAGCTTTACAAAGTGCAGGGAATTACTATGGTTTTTGTTTTCTTCTCCTGAAAGTAGATAGATTAGCCAAGTTTTTTCAGGTAGCTGAGACTCTGCAAAAGATACTAGAGGTGATAGAGTTGCATTATTGCAGTGTTAGGTCAAATTCGTTACCCTGCTTTTGGGAGCTGAGCTGTGTTGCTTCAGGCATGTTCAGGGGTTGATCTTTGGACTGAGTGCATGTGTTGAGTCTACTCTTGTTTTCTGGTATGTGGAAAAGGCTGCCAGTGTTTCTGTTAGGGAGGGAAAATACAGTGTGTTTATCTAGCTTCAGTCAGCTCAGTTACTTTGACTTGTCTCCTAATGCAGGTGTCTGGCACAGAAAACTTTAGTCTCAATAACATTTTGCAAAGTTACAAGGAAAGCCACTGTTTTATAATGTGAAATGGTAGCCAGAAGAGAATGAGCCCTGCATATAATTAAAAGCTACCTTCATTCTCCTCTTCTGTAGTTTCAGAGGCTGTTTTATTGGTGTTTCTTCCCTTTATCACAGGTGGCCTCATCTTTCAAAACAGGAGAACTAAGGTTTTACCTGTTAAAATTTCATGAAAAACAAACAGTAAAATTAAGGTGGTCCATGGTTTTCTGTTCTCCCCACCCACCTGTGTTTGAGATAAATAAGTATAATACTATAAACATAATCACTAATGAACTTAAAGTAGTTAACTTGCATGTCTTCTGTTTGGACAGACTGACAAGGACTCTTCTGATAAAAGTGCTGATGAAGGAACAGTTGAACAAGAGGAGGTGCCCAGAGCGGACAAGCAGAGTGGCTCAGCAGAGGAGGTAGTAAACGATGGCCAAAGATGTGCTGTGTCAGGGGACACAAGCACGACAGAGGATGTCAGCCAAGTGAAGGAAGCAGAAACTGAACTGACAAGGTGTGCTGCCTTGCAATATTGCACTGTGTCATTCTGTGTCATGTTTGATACTGTCAGACAAGTCTAGATTTACTCGCCAATGTGATCTGGGGGCTACTCCACTAAATCAGAGTTGAGTGAATAGGATACTAAGCAAGGACTGTTAGGATCTACTTTGGAAATGGTGTTTCACTGCAGATCCCCGCCACATGACTTCCCAGTAGCTGATTCACCATCTAGCTGAATCTTGATCTCAACAATTGATCATATAAATTCAATTGCTTTATTTTTTTGCTGGAAGCTCTTGCATTGTATTGTTTGAAGGAAGAACAGGGGAAAGCAGTGGAGACATTGATGACTGAAAACCATCAGACACTCTTAAATGTTGAATGTTAAATGCACTGATCTTGGTTTCTCTTTGTTTATCAGCAGTACTAAGCCTAAAGGGAAAAAAGCCAAGGATGCAAAAAAGTCTGCTTCAGAGCACCCAACAACGGTATGTCAAATTACTTACACTATTTAAAAGCTGGTGGTCATAATACTACAAACAAGGTTGGTTGTTTGGTCACTTCCAGTCCACAGATTCTGTTTCAGTTTTTTTCTTATTTTCTAATAATACAGGTATTTCTATCCCTATGATTTTATTAGAAGCTGGGAGACTGGAACAGCAGCTTTTGTCCTTGCAGAGAAGAGCACAACTAAATTTCAGTTTAAGAGAGTTGCTAAAGCTCTGTATCCAAGGCAGTTCAAACCAAACAAATTAAACAACTGAAGACAGAGCTGTTGTCATCAGGCAGGTGACAGGCAGTACCATTTGCATGTTTCCCAATATTGATGCTTCCCAGAAAGAGCAAAATCTTGTAGTAACTACAGCTAAGACATAATAAATTCACTAAAGCTCAGAGCCTAAAGTGTTGTGTGTATAGTCAGGTGAAATCAAAAGTATTCTTCATCTTGAATTAGATTTGCAAGGCTTCTATTCTTGTTCTTGGTTTTACTTAGTACTCTTTGAAATTTCAAGAAGTTATACTTGTGATTTATTTTTTTTTAATATATATATATATATGTTCCTCAGTAATGGAGTATCTGTGATAGAAACAAACAGCTTATTCACATTTCACTAAGAGAAACTGCCTAAAACAAATTGGTGTATTACATTTATTGCATATTACATATGATTGTGAAGCATTTTGGTTTTTTTCCTCATTGCAGAATGAAGTTCCCATCCAGTGTACAACCTGCAAATGTACATTTCCATCCCGAAATAAACTGTTTGAACACCTCAAAACCATGGGACATGCAAAAGCAACCCAAGTACCACCTGTAACTGGAGCTGTAAACACCAGAAACAAAAAAGAGAAACGTAAACACTAATAGAGCTTTGTTAGAGTAACAGTCTTTAGAATAGTACATGAAAACTCTCCCAAAACTGGAAGGTGCACATGGCCTGTGTTCAGAGTTAAAACAGAGGAGGGAAGTCCTAATTTTGGAAAAAAAAAGAAAGATGCAGCAAAAGGAGTATTATCTTGTGAAGGAATGTGTGCTTTCTTTTGGTTTTATCAGCTTTTAATAACTGGATTTGACGTACTAGCCATACTTTGCATCTTTACTATATCACTAATGAGTGTGCTTTGCAATCTTAAAAGCAGCAGGAGGAGAAGAAAAGCATATTTTGGAAAGGAAGATGACTAGATTAGAGCCCCATGCTAAATAATTACTGTCATTAGAAACTTTTCAACTTTATGCAAACTTTTCTTTTTCATGCCCTAATTACAGTGTCCTTTTAATAGGGATAGACAGTTTTACCTCTATTTGAAACCTCCAGTTATGTTCTGCTCAGAGTGGTTCTCACCCAGAGATTTATTATGCCTATGTAAGTGAAATCTCACAGACGGAAGTCTGCAGTGTTACTTTTTGATTTTAAATTCTTTTATTTAAATAAATACTTCTATCATTTGTGTGTTTTACAAATGCTTGTATGTATTTCGTATAAATAGCAAGGTTTTGGTAGGGGGGTTGGGGGCAGCAGCAGTGGTGACCGCTGCGGAAGGCAGTTGGGGACTACCCTGCACTGGTCCCAGCCACCTCTGTAACACCACACACCAACGCTCAGCCATTGGGGAGCATGTGGCGCTTCTGTCAAAACATATTTAAGATGTGGCAGTAAATGCTGTCATACAAAGCAACACGGCCAGGGCAGCAGGAGGCATGCCAGTGCGGTGCTGGTACCACCCCCAAGGGCACTATGGATGCTACAACACCCAGTGTACTTCCCCAAAACAACTTTATTATTTTCCTCTCCCTCTTTCTAAAAATTACCAATTTTGATATGACTTTCATAGATGAAAAATTAATATACGTCTGCCTCTTCATCTGATACCCAGTTAATCCGATCGGGGGTTTTTATGCTAATGCTAGAATAGCTGTGTGTAGAATATATATAGAATACACACCACCACTGTAGAACTGAACTGTATGTTTACAAAACAGGTTACAGTGTATTCTTTATTAAACACTGGATCTGTCAGACCACTCTTATGATACTGAACAACTAATTCTTCTTCAGACTATGATTTTCTTATCCAGTGTAGAGTAGTACCAGGTCTAGGTGGTAAGTATCAGGGGTTCTGTGTGCGTCTCATGTAAGGGAACAAATCAAGTCTGTTTTGCAGCTGCTTTCTCCATGTGTCTCTGTAAAGCAGTATAAAATACTTCCACAGCAAAGTCGACATCCTTTTTAGTAATGCACATAGGAGGTTTAATTCTAAATGTCTGAGGAGAAAAAAAAAAAATCATTAAACTTGTATGGGAAGAATACAGTTTCTAGCAGCCCATCTAGATCAGCACTCACCTTCTGCTCAAAAAAATCTAACAAAAAGTGTGAAAAATACTATTACAGCAGAACAGCAGAGCAGGGACTGAGGCTCCTGATAAACATACTCTGAAGTGGGGCAATTTTGGACTTGACAGGATCCAACCCACCACTCCACTCTTGTGACAAAGCAACTGCCTCCAAAAGAGACCTGATCAGAGTAGGTCAGGTCTGCAGCTCTGTTATTCCAGACAGAACTAGTATAAAACTTTTGATGGGTTTGTACTAAGAAAGAACAGACATAGGTGTATTTTCCTTTCTGGCAGCTCTGCCACAGGGAAAATTAGTATCTATTAAGAGTGGCAGCCTCTTGCATTGTGTCAGCTGATTTGCTGTTACATTGTAGGCTTTTTTTAAGGCTTCTAAGAGAATGCATTATGAAAGAATCACCAAATACTAACTTTCAGTTAGGGTACTATAGCTTGAATGTGTGTTGATCAGGAAGGGGTACATGCACAATTTAACTTGTCAAGTTTCAGTTTAAATTTTTCTGTCATCGTATCACAGGACTTCATGCAGTGAGAGTGGAATAATGGTCTTTCCCACCTGCAGCCCCATGTGAAGCTAACACTCACAGATAAACAGCACTCTCATGAGACAGAATCAGATTTTAACTACGCTCTGAGGTGCAGCCTGTTACCTGGGTTTCTGGTCTGTGACTTGTGAAAGAACCGATGAGGTGACAGATGCTATGCCCCATTTATTTTAGCCATCCTGTGTTTATCGCGTACAGAAGCTGCTTCCACTATGTCAGAGGGCTTCACCGACCTGACCAGCCGAGAGGCAGCTCTCTGCTATTAACTCACATGCTGTAAGAAGCTGGTGATGCAGAGCCCTGGGTACAGCATGGTGCATCTTCAATTGCTGTGGGCTGATGCCCATTCACATGCAATTCTCACTTTTGTGCTGCATTGCTGAACATGCTGTTAGCAACAATCTGGGTTTTTTTTTATTACCATACAGGCAGAATGTTACCAGCTCTCCAGACTGAAAGAACTAGCAAAACCAAACTTGTTCTGTACCAACAGGTCAGGTGATAACCTGAACTTTAGCAAAGACTTAGCAGGCCTGAATATTGCTGATTTCTTGTAATTTACATAGACTATAGTACATTGCTTTTCTAGGGGAAGTTGTCCCTCTAAAGGAAAACTCCAAGCTTAGAGCTTGCTCAGCATACTTGAAAAGAATCAGATAGCTCCTGCCCAATTTATAAAATAAGCAAAATTAAACAGAGAGAGTTCCTAAGAGTATATGTTTTCTGGTTTGTTTATTTACTAAACTGAAGTTAATTTAGCTTGAGGGAAACAGGATATAGTTCATGAGGACAGAAAATAAGCTTTATGCATAACCAGAGGTTCAGTACCTGACTGTAGAGTCCTCCTCTGCCAATTAGAACCCCCATGTCTTTACAGTCCTCCCAGATCTGATTGATTTCTTCAGCTGGAAGAGGGTGGCGACTATCCTAAGGAAAGCAAACATTAAACTTCACTTAGATACTCTAAATTAGTCCTATGAAAAAAATATATATTCCAGTCTGTCCAATAAAGCCCACTCCCATCTCTGGCTGAAAACATTAGCTGTGTAATTTATCTGCTTTCTAAGACCAGTTTATGCAATTAAGGTACACAAGTCACTGCTTACTCAAAGCTTGTGAAATATCTGAAAAGCTGGAACATTCTGGCTCGGTTTTGGCCCGAGCAATGTTTTCTCACTTCACTAGCTTTTTTTAAATAGGAAATCATCCTATTATTTCAACTGAAATAAGATGTGATAAAACTTTCAGTGGCACTGTAAATTGAAAGGAAAAAAAGTAAATCACTAACCTTATCTGTCACCATTTCTACTCCAATCATAAGTCCCTTGCCACGGACATCTCCAACAACCTCAAATTTATCCCGTAGTTTAGCCAACTCCAGTAGCATATATGTTCCCACATCCTCACTATTTTTTTGTAGACCATCTTCTTCAATAGCCTGGTTAAAATGATGTACTGTGACAGTATTGCAGGCAAAGCTTCCAATACAGTCAGTCAATCCCCATTTAGCTTGATGACACACTATGTTTATCTCACTTCCTTGCAGACTATGTTCCTTCACTACTACAGTTCTTACATTTTTGTTCTTTTACAACCCTCTAGTGGCATCAGGGTACAACTGAACATAATATTTTGATGTTGCTGTGGCATTTTTCACATTTTACTTATTATTCCATAAACATAATCCAGTAATTCATGGTCACATGTAGTCAGAACTGAAAAACACCTGACCAGCAGCATTATTTTCAAAATCTAACCAGAAATATTTTAATTCTTTGTCAGTATCATGAGAAGAATGTAATTTGACATGGCATACCTATGTCTACTAGGCAGCTTTTTAGGGAACAACTTGAGTGTTTTAGATACACCAATACCATGCTGTTTAATCACAATCTTTTTTTTGTTCCTTACTCCACTCTCCTTAATCAAAGTTCTGACAGGCAGTCACCTATGAGTACTGACATGCACAACCCATTTTATGAACTTAATATATGCATTAAAAAAACTCATATGAAAAAACAAAAAAATACAATTACAGAAGTTGAAGTGGCTGTTTCTCATTTTTTCTTTTCTTTTTTTTTTCCCCTTTTCTTTCAACTCCATTTTATTCTTTCAGACTCTGACAATCTCCTTGGATTTATTTCAGATCCAGGCTCCAAGTTACTTCAGAGCCAAAAAAAACCCAAAACATGGGTTCGGACTTTCTTATTTGTAAACTGTTTTTTTAAAAATCTTTTTATTTATATGATCAACCATCTTATAAAATAGCTTAACCCCCCCCAAACACTCAGGAAAGTAACATGAACAGAAACAGTGTCTGCTGTAATGCAGTGAGATTTAAGGACAAATGGTTTGTACATGATCAAGACAAATTAAATAGCGACCTACTGCCCACTGACTGATTTTCTGCTGGATAGTAAGTGAAATATATTGGAAATTTCTTGATTGTCTTTTTCATGAGGCTTTTTTTTTTTTTTTCCAAAAGGAATTCTGACCTTCCATATTTTTAACTATCTGGTTGTTGAGGCTTTTTAGGCATAAGGGAAAAGCTGTGGAGTTAAAAAAAATTTGTTAAGCATTTGTGACAGAGAATAAATTTGGTTTAGCTAAGGATTTGCATAGTCCTATGAAAGGGGCTTTTGAGAAAGTGCTTTCCTACATTTTTATTAACACAGTAAAGAACGTAAGGAAGACACAAAAACATGATTCTGAAAACATAATTAGAGGACTCCTATTCTTACTAGAGGAATGAAAATTTTGCAATGGAATGAAACAGGAATTTTTCCTACACATACAGGACATTGGCCATGTATGCATAATACATGCATAAGTTTGTGCATTTTATACAGTTATTTAAAAAATAGCCCACCTGTAACTTTATACTAAGAATAAATGTAAACATTTTTCATCTTTTGCTACAAGAAAAACTGTGGAATATATAAATATATATAATGTTCTCCCTACATCAAGAACTGCAGCTCCAACTACACAGGCCAAAGGGCTTCCTCCAAATGTATTAAAGTGAAGGTTTTGAGCCAAGGAACTTGCAATCTCTAAGAGAAAAAGAACAACATTGATTACTCTTACAGTTGCCTTATGTTTGGTAACAGTACTTACCTGCTTTAACTTAACTGTTAAGTTTGCTGTGCTTCAACCCTGATTCTACTGGATACAACGCAATAGGAAGATTTTATTTTTTCCTGCAAGTAGTCTGTGCAAAATATGACTTATCTCTCAAAACTATAGTGTCTAGCAGATGCTAAAACCAGACTTTTTTAAAAAGAAGTCACATTTCTAACATATGCTATCAGTTGTCCCCTTAAACTGACACCTACGGATTTTCTTCACTAGATTCAGCCAGTCATTTGTATGAATCAAGTAGCTGGCTAGCATGCTGCCTTATATACTTGCAGTACTTTGGTTAGTAAAACAGTGAATTCCGTTAGGATTTCCAGGATCTATTACCAGCTATACCAATACTTGCAAGGTCATCCCCACTTCAGTTACACAACTAACACCATTCAAATAAAGCTTTGCACTGGTATAGCACAGCGCTTGGTAAAATGAGTAATGAGAATCCAATTCATTTCTCAAAAGATAGATTGAGACAAAGATTATTAATAAAGCTCAGCTATTTGAACACACATCTCTCCAGTAAGTGATTATTGTATAGTATATTTTGTAATTGCTCTATTTTAAATCTTAGCAAAACAGAACACTTATACCTTTTGTTGTAACAACAGCTGCCATTGGAAAGCCATTACCAATTCCTTTTGCCAAAGTAACAATGTCAGGGACTACATCATGTGTTTGAAATCCCCAGAAATGGCTGCCAGTCCGTCCAAATCCTGTCTGTACCTTTCAAAAGAAAAATTCAGAGAAATCCCCATCACTTTCTCACATTTTACAATATGGTTTCTTTTTCTTGTCTTTCGGTTGTTAATGATTTCCATTAAACTGCAACTATACCTGGAGTTGAGTTCTATTAGGATCCTTATTCAGATGGCTTTGCACAAAATTCTGTTTATTGTAATTGGGTTTTTCTTTCACATATGAAAGAGATACCATGTCACCGTGTCTTAGGCATGGTGAGATGCACAAATAAGCTGCAGCTTCCATTTCATAATGGAGAAGAAATGCAGTTGCTTATCACATTTCAAGCAACCCCATGATTGCTGATTTCTACTACTGTAATGCTTGAGGTACATATCACCACCACTTTGAAGTGTTTGCTACTGTTTCAAAATAGCTTTAGCTAAGCAAATTCTATTTATAAAAGGTATTTGCAGAGGTACAGCCATCAACTTCCTTCTCGAGTTTATGTATGCCAACAACACTCCTAGGAGGAAGTGTTATTGTGACAAACTTCACATCACAGCTGGCATTTATTAGCTGCCTATTTCTGTAAATTTACTGCTCCCAAAAGGTAGGGACTGAAGTCTGCTACTAACATTACCTGTGTCTAAAATCTGAATACCACATAGCAGAATAAAGGCAGTAAAAAACTGGGAGGCTCCTATGCTTGGAGAGATGTGCTGTGTTAAGCTTAAGCTATGAAGTGTATAGCATTGCACTTCTTAGATTATTTCCAGGCTTCCAGTTTGCCTTCACTTGGATTCTTTTAAGATGACTTTCAGAGGTACCCCAAACTCTAGAGCTCTTATGTCCAAAAAGAACTCACTTCATCTGAAATACAAATGCCCCCTCTCTCCCGTACTAGCTGATAAGCTTCCTTTAAGAAACTTCTTGGGTACTGAACAGCGCCGTTAACACCCTGTCAAGACAAAAAAGACAACGTCTTCACACAAGGAAACAGGAATTCCACTGCGTGACTATCCTACAACAAGAAAAAAATACCAGCAGCCCTCAGGTAATAGCAAGACTGTTGTCTCAAGTTTCTGGCTTCAGCAGTGAAACTGCTTCAAAAAGTTCCTGCTCAGGTCACTCATTCCCATTCCACAGGGCGGTTTGCTGTTCCATTAGTTGTGCTGGTATAAACGTTTGTGAGGCCATGCTGTAAACTGGATTGCTGCAAGACAGAGTTGATTAAAGATAAACTGCCAAAACAAGTATCTTGAAAACCTACACACTGAGAAACCCAGAAACTGTGTTTGATGACAAAGTTAACCAGAGAATTCACATTCCTTCTTTGGTTAATTTGTTTAAAACATTGTTTCCTCAATTTCTGTTCACCTTGCCAGTTTTTCTTTGGATCAGAAATTCCACTCTACACATGGACGGCAACGGCTTCTCAGACTCAAGTATGTGAAGGCATAGAAGACAGCAAAAACAGAGAAGAGCTCCAATCTTCTCTGTGGACATAATTCTCACATTTTTTTCTTGCCTTTCCTGTTCCAGAATATATTCTCCATTCTTCCTATTCAAGAACCACACACACAGCAGTTCTGAAACTAGGGTGAAGCACCAAGAGAATGAATCCTGTGGCCACTACTTGCTGGAAATCTGCTAAAAATATAGTGGACAACATGGCTGGGAAGAGGTGGAAGGGGAATTGAGTTAAAGTTTACAGAAATAGTGAAGAGAAAAGCAGTAGAAAATTTGGAAGAAGGTATTAGAAACTAAACAATAGCGTGCATCATACTTGTTATTTAAATGCAGAAAAAAATGTGTATATTCAATCATGATTCTCTGTTTAATTTAACTTCATGAGCAAAATTCTAGCTCCACTGAAATCAGTGACAGAAGCTGAAATTTTAACACAGTGCATCCATTCTTTCAAATATTTAAGGTGTTCAAGGCATTAAATAATAAGAAGAATAAATAATAAGAATCTACAGAAGTCTATGTTTAGGATGTAGCTAAAGAATATCAGATCTGAGTGTTTCACACTATTTGTGCCATCACAATTGAGAAATGGCAAACTACCTACTTGAATTGGTTCAGCAATAAATCCAGCTATCGTCTTTGGCACTGAGGTATTCAGAGTGTCTTTGAACTGTTCAATGTACTGGTCATTTGCATGACATACACCTGTTTACATGGGAAATAGATTGAAGGGAATTTACTTAAAATGACACAAAACTAGCTTCAAAATATGAAATTACACATCTAAGCAACAAGTATTATCTGACTGCATGGTAAATGTCACCTCTCAAATACACAATAAAAGGCTAAACATTAAAGGAGAGAGTCCCTTATTTTCTCGTAAACCATATATACTCTAAGGAATGCCAGTTCCAAAACAGCAAGGCAAGGCTGCCAGACAATAAGGTATTACACATTATACAAGTCAGTAAGGTGTAGGTTAGAGAAAAGTGTTTGTGAATCACCTGCATCAGCAGAAGAAATAAGCACACACTTTCTCAGGAGTTAATAAACATCAGCATAAGACATAAGGAATCGTTAGGTTAGTGCAGGTATGAGGATTCTGGAGAATACAGCTGTGTATCAGTCTACACTGAAATAAAGAACAGAGCAATTAGTATAGCTAATGCTTGCATTCACTAGGGAGGGCAAAGCTAAAAAGAAAACATTCTGTTATGGATGCATGTGAAGTAAAATACCAAAGAGTGCCTGTTGAAACACTGGAAGAAAATTACTATAATAGTTGTTAACAGGAGAGCAGTAGCGGAGCTTTCACACTGTGCTGTGTATGGAATGTTTTGCCCCATATTAGACTTTTTGCCTATCACTGGCCTCAGGTTGTCCTTACTATTCATATTATTCCAAAAGAAAAGCTTGAGAGCTGTCAAAACTTCAGAAACAGCAGAAAACACCAATGAACATTTCCATTCTTCCAGATGTGCTAAACTGAGTCCCACAGCTCCCAGAGTTGATCATGACAAATGCTGGAAACAAAGGCTGGGATTTTAAGAATAAATCTGAGAATACGAGGTGTCACTTGCCCAAAATTTTTCTCAGTGGAAAGCAGTGCCTGAGGTTCTCTGCAATATTTTCTTCAGTTGCCTTTGCAAATCCTCACCAGAGGTCTACCTTTCTTGAGAAGGCAAATACAACTTATTTCCACAGCCGTCTAGTATTCTCTAATCTAAAAACCAGATACTTTTTGTCATTGACCAACCTTCAGAACAGCTGCATTTTCGAACAGTTTGTACTGGAGAATCTCTACAACGGCTGCCTCCCCATGGACCACGAAAAACATCCGGTAACATTGTCTGTCAAGCATAAGAGAAATAGCTACAGATTTGATGACACCTTTCTAAGAGATGCTTTGATCATACTGAGGGATCACTAATGACAAAAACTAAAGAAAGGCTGTTAGAGTCAAAGGGCATACCTCATTCAAGCAACTTGTCTGAACAACACTTGTGGAATAACACCAAACTTCCCCCTCAAGAAATGGTAAAACAGAGACAGTTTTGGAACCAACAAGTTTAGACTATTCCAGCAATAATCACTCAGTTGATTACTTCGTTTTGCTCTTTAAGTTAATCAGCAGTTTTGGTTATCTAAGATTAATAGCAACATTTTCAGAGCTGCTGGTAGTACTTCAATAATCTGAAGTATGATAAAAATCTGCAAAACACAGGGAGGTAGGCAGATCTAGTACAGTAACTACAGGCAACTCATTTATTGACCCAGTTTGGGAGGCTGCTGTAAACGGAGCCTTCCTACAGCCAGTGCTGCGGGTGAGCTATCACCAGTACAGATCGGAGTAGCCAATGCCAGCTTCTAGTAGATAGAAAGTCATTCCCATCTGCTCAAGGGCAGGGAGATAACGTATCGCCATTTATCTCCAATGGATCTCCTTAACAGGTATGTCTCCTGTCTTGCTGAAATGAGGGACATCATAGGGTTTTTCTTCATTCCTGGGGAAGATCTACTTCAGACCAGCTGAAAGCAGCTTTGCACAGGTTTGCCAAAACAAACTTGGGAAAAGGGGTTCCGAGCTTTATTATTTTGCACCTTACACAGACTTACATGCAGGCACTAAGCATGACTAAAGAGCTGTAAATCATGCCCACTCGTGTTATGGCTGTCCCGATTCCAAAGTAGCATAAGTAACTATACGGAGAAGGAACGGGGACTCTGGCTTGTGTGCTTACACAGAAGGAATAGGTACACTGCAGGTTAGTTAGTGACCGTAACACACTTTGAGGATAGAAAATGTGCTAACTGTTGAAATATTCAAACAAAATGTTACGTTACCCAGATTATTTAAAAAAAAAAAATAAAAATCTCACTGTTGAACAGCCAAAGCCATTGGCGACACCATGCTTATAAAGACCAATAGATGTCAATCCCAGCGTGTAAGGGCTGCCTCCATGGTATGCTCCTCTGTGCAAACAAAAGCAAGCACATGAACACCTCTCATTTCCAAGAAAAGACTGTAGCAAAATTAGTTCTGATAAGGCATGCTTCTGAGCTACAAATTATTGGGGAAAGTGTGCACTGTTACACTCAAAACAAGAAGATTTCTGCTGCCATTTTTTGCTCTGGTTTTGGAAGATCCATGACTGCCCATCTGCATTTGCTTCCTAAATTTCAAATGTTAAAAATTGTGAGGTGATGTTTGCAAGGAGAAGAGAACAATGATTGGAACCAACAGCAATTCAGACAGTGCCTCACAAAGTTCTGCTGTAGCACCTGAGCCCTACACAGCAAACATCTCTCTTCTTTAAATCTTGGGAACTGCTGCTCTCTCCAACAGATGCTGCCAATCATTAAACTACATGGTAGTTTGCTGCCAGTTTTATACACAAATCAGAAGTTCATTAATGAGAACATACAAGCAAGGTGGGTACCCAATGTTCTGCTGAACAGAATAACAGAAATATACAGCTCTTCATAACAAGGCCATTTATTCTAATATTTGAAGCCACTTGGGAGGCACAGTAAAAAGGACTGCTTACACAGCAGTCACCCCTGCACCATCTTGTCGCTAAGCCAGAAGAGCTGTTTGTGTACCTGTGCAGTGAACTATGGTTCAGGGATCTGGCAGAAAAATAAGGCAGCAAAACAAACAAAACAAAAAAAAATCCTTCTGCCAGGTTAGCTGTCAGCCAGAGCAGTTCCCTGCTGCAGTTCACTGCACTGCTCTTCCCCCTTTGCATCCCCACAAACGAGGGCATGGCAGGGGTAGAATGAAGGAAGAAAGCAGCAATTGCTGAAGCCTGCTTTGGCCCTGAACGACGGTCCACCAAAGCACACACTGAACACAGAGACTAGACCCTTTTCTAAGTAACAAAAGCAAAAATTGCAGGTTGTGTTTTGTATGCAAACTACTCTGAATATACTGTATCAAATCTTCAAATAAAATAATTTCTCTTTGTCAAATAAAATAATTTTATAGTGTTCTCCTCAGCAGATCTGGGATTAAAGAGTTCTCTATCATTTCTTGGTTTAGGCATATAGAGACTGATCACATACACAAATGAGTTTTGTAAAGATCTATCGCCATTACCTGAAAGAGATGATGTCGAAGTTACGAGTATATAGCCTTGCCATGAACATAGCCAAATCATTGGCTTCTGACCCGCTGTTGGTTAGATAAACCACCTAAAGGATAATGCTTAGGATCAGTACAGCGCCCAACCACCACCTTCTTGGTCAGCATCAGACCATGTCACTTAGTAACATTATGAGCTATAACCTATCACTACCACAAGGTGACTTCACCACAGTAAACTTAGTGTTGCCTTTACACTATAGATGAGAACTAAGAACAAGCTGACGTACTCAGGGAGAATACAGAAAAATCTTTAACAGCTGGGATCTTTGGGTTTTCCTAAAATGGAACAGTGATTCAAAGAAAAATGAAAGTGTCGAGGTCAAACTGAGTATAACTGACTGAATAGAACTAACCTTCACGCAGGTAAAAAGGGCTGTACAGTGTCCTTGCATGTTAGTTACTAGGAGTGACACACACAGACACAACTGCGGAACAGAAGAGGTAAGCAGAGTATGCTTATTGGGAGCAAACGAGGGGGATATCTTGAATACTAGTTCTGAGATTTGAAAACAGCTCAAATTCTAGTGTCACTGCTTTTAAAGTTAATTTTCAGAAGTGATTGAGATTCTCCACTTCGTAAACTATGCAGATGGTTTACATTTTATTTTTTTAACTCTCCTTCCATTTTAAAGATTGCGACAGCTTCACACTCTTCTGCTAGCCCAATTTCATTTTATCACCAGTTTATTTTACCGGAAAACAAACCCAGTGTTTTTCTTACTGTTTCTGGGCATATGAAACATGACATTTATGTGGTTTATTTAAATGTCAGTAAAGCTCACTACACAAAGTACTGTCCAATACTTTTCACCGTGAATCTTCATGAGATCAAGCAAATTAAGGCTGGCTATGTATAAGAATAGTTAACATCTTCTTAGTTCCTTCAATAATTTTTAAGCTGGCAATGCCCCTTCACAGTGACAACTGGAGGATGAGAACAAACAGAACAGGACCTTAGGATATTATGCTTGTCCACATCTGAGTCTAAAGAAAAGGTCTTCAGGGTCATCATACTCTCCTTATCTGACAGGCTGTAGTCCCCATACAGGTTTTCTCTCCAAAGATATCATTTATGGCTCTCATTTATGTAATATTTTATATTAAACATTTCTTAAAAAACAGACACCCCTTTCACCTCCCCCTGTCAGAAGCAAAGTACCTTAAGTGGATCTGGAAGAAGAGAAGTTAGCTTTTCAGCATACTCCTGGATTGATGGGTGCATGTAGATATTAGTGGTATGCCACAGGCGAGCAAGCTGTTTCTGGGTAGCCACAGTTACCTTTCTGCGTGTAGCACAAGAAGAGACAACAGGATTCAATTCTACACACATGTGCACTCATACATGCACACACCTACCCATTATTAATTCTGAAAACACAGACACTGCACCATTTGCCAGATGAATGAACAAGTAGACAAAATTAATGAATTCTTCAAAGTGTAGTGGAAATTGACCTTAATGTAAGTGATACATGACAATTCAGTGAATCATATTCTGGTTTTAGGCTCACAGTGCCACAGATTAATGAAAAGCAAAGCCAACATAGGTATCTCTTCCTGTATTTTATAGCATAAATCAAATAGTAACATACTTACGGGTGGCAGTGACCAACACTGACAGTGACAATTCCAGCAAATAGATCAAGGTATCTTCGTCCTTCATAATCAAACAACCACTGCATATGTCCTTGATGCAACAACAACGGCTTCTTGTAATACATTCGCAGTGAAGGAGAAATATTTTGTTCACGAATCTTCTGCATACGTTCATATGGATAGGACTGAGTGGAATAAAAAAAGTCATTATCCATTTATGCTTTCTAAAGATCCAGACTAATGCACCTGTAGTGGATCACATAGATTACATAGCTGTCTACAGCGGTTGTTCACAGAACTAAGATTTTAACAAATTCTGGCACATAAAGGGTTCTACCTCTACAAACCTCTGAAACAGCTTTTGAAATAAAGCTGCTATTCTGCACTTACCTCCTCCTTGAAGTTTTTCAAATCAACAATGTAGCCATAAGATATAGAACTGTCACACAGATACATCTATAGATTATACGCTGCTTGTAACAGAATTGTTTTTTGCCCAAAAAGCAAATTTTATAATCATATTTAAAGCACTATTTATAGCAGATGAGCCTATTGCTCAAATCCAGTAATGCAGCCCTTCTTAAAGTCAGCATAGTATGTATGACTTACTTTGTATTTTTCAGGTACAAAATCGCAAGGAGGCATTTTTGCTTGTGTGGAGACAAAGCTTTTCCATTTCTGCTGCCTAAAGGCAACTACAAAACAGTAAGAGAATTATCAAACACTTATCAAGGTGCACATCAGAAAGAGTTTCTCAACAAGCTTGTTCAAAGAACACACAAGCTATGGTCAACGCAAGTTTTGTTTTTTTGGTTTGGTTTTTTTTTTTTGTCTGAGAAATTTTCTTGGGGGAAAAATATAATTAAGTAACATCTTTGTAAAGGCAAAATATATGTAGATTAAAAAAGGAAAAAGTGCTTCTCTCTTATCGACTAAAACTTGGTTTTCAGTTTCACATGGACTTTTGACAGAAAAGGACTTAACACCCACCCCAATCGCCTTGCCTCCAGCAGTTTCTGATACAAATTCTTGTTTGGAAGCAGCAAGAACAGGAATCCTCTACAAGGGTGTGAGCCAGGAGCCCGGGGTGACCGCAGCACAGGCGGTGCCCTCAGGGACTAGGGTACAGTCCCAACAGACCTAAACAAGGTGGGCAAAGCAGGGTCCACCGACAGTGCCCCATGTAAGTGGAAGAGATGAATCAGGTCCAGGGTCCACCCAGAGAGTCCACTCAGGAGCAGCAGCAGATGGGGCCAGAGACAGGGCTGGAGACAAGGCTACAACATAGGTCCAAGGTCCATCCAGGAGACGGGGCCAGAGGCTGGACTGGTGTCAAGGCTATACTCATGGCAGAGCTGAGGCAGGGTCTGAAGGCTCAGGGCTGGGCTGAAACAGGGCTCCTGGGCAGCAGGCACAGGCAAGGGCCCGGGATGAGGCTGCCCAGGGCAGACAAGGAGTGCTCAGGGCCCTGACAACTCTCAGTGCCATCTTCCGACCTCTCTCCAAAATCCTAAAATCATCACTGCCCTACCTTTCATTTAAGTGCAAGTGTAATTAAGCAGGTATCAGAAAAAGCTACCATTTAAATACATTCTCTTTCTGCATCCCTAGTATCATATGCTGAGAACTACGCATCCATTTTTAAATGTCTAAGGTTTTAAAGACTTTCTAAAACAGATTAAAATGCACAAGAATGAAGAGTGAAGTTTCCTGTGTATTACATACACCGCCACTTCCCTTACAACCACTTACAGCACTAATGAATTAATCACCTACAAGAGTCCAGTCTCAAAAACATTAATTAAAAGCCGTAAGTTAGACAAGTTCTGCCTTCGGGCCGCTTTCAAGGGGATCCACAGCTACATCGAAAGCGCTGCTTCGCCCCCCGTGTACAAACATGGAGCTGCGATCAAAAATCCCCATGAGAGCGGGCTTTCAGGGAGGTACGCCGACCCCCCGCCAGGCCTCCCCCGTCCCCGTCCCACCCGGCCAGCCCAGGCCTGCGGCGGCTTTGGGCTCCGTCCACAACCGCTGCTCCGGCAGACCCCGGCGGAGCGGGCCCCCACCGCGGGAAGAGTCACCTCAGCCCCTGACGGCCCCGCGGACGGACCGCCCCGCCAACGGCGCCTGTCCCGTCCCGCCGGGAACTCGGACTGCCGCTCCGCCCGGCCCCGGCACAGCCGAGCCGCCTCCCCTTATCGCGCCGGTCCCTTACCGCTGCCGACCCGGCGGCCACGACCGCACAGCAGCGGCCCGACTCCCCTCGCCATCTCGGCCGGTACCAGGGCAGCGCCGGGCCGGGGA